GATTCCTATAATTTCCTCGCGAACGATACCTACGTTTGATCGTTCAGTTTCGAATATCGATAGACGTTTACCGATTCTCTTCCCATATACGTATATTAATACTAAAACTACCGATAGTTAACACGAAGCTATTTCTATCAAAGCCAGTGAAAATGACTGGTCTTTTAAAAATACGTAATAATAGAATATTTTTATATTTATTGATTTATTTCTCTCTTACAGAAGCAATTTCATTGTTATTAATCCATCTGGGACTATGATCGACCTAAACGCGAGGGTTGACACATTTATAAAATCGTAGGAGCAGTCGTTTTGACTGCTGTGACATTTATAGCGTTAGCATCTGGCGATCTAGCGATCGATCCGGAATTTTCCCGATAACCGATATCATCGTATCGAACGATACGCGGTAAAAATTTAAAAAACGTGTGACATGTTGTAGAAAACGAGGGAACTGGTTAATTGGGGTTCGATAAACAGATTGCAGCATCCTTTTACACTTTGACAAGTATCAGTCGTTTAGACTGGTATTGGTAAAAGTAGCCTGATACAAAATTATTTTGGGTTTGAATACATAAAAACAAAATAAAATTCGTTATATTATTCTTTTAGTTATCGTTGCGGAAAAAATATAACATGAAGTAGGAATTTTAAAAATTTGTAAAACCAGTCAATTTGACTGATGTGGGTATAAATAGCCTTGATACGAAATTATTCTCAGTTTGAACACATAAAAAACAAAATAAAATTCGTTATATTATTCTTTTAGCTATCGTTGCGAGAGTCGTTGCAACATTGTGGAAAAAATTATAACATGAAGTAGAAATTTTAAAAATTTGTAGAACCAGTCAATTTGACTGGCGTGGGTATAAGTTGCCTTGATACGAAATTATTTTCAGCTTGGATACATAAAAAACAAAATAAAATTCGTTATATTATTCTTTTAGCTATCGTTGCGAAAGTCGTTACATCGTTGCAGAAAAAAATATAACGAAGTAAGAATTTTAAAAATTTGTAAAACCAGTCAATTCGACTGGTGTGGGTATAAGTAGCCTTGACACGAAATTATTTTCAGTTTGAACACATAAAAAACAAAATAAAATTCGTTATATTATTCTTTTAGCTATCGTTGCGAGAGTCGTTGCAACATTGTGGAAAAAATTATAACATGAAGTAGAAATTTTAAAAATTTGTAGAACCAGTCAATTTGACTGGCGTGGGTATAAGTTGCCTTGATACGAAATTATTTTCAGCTTGGATACATAAAAAACAAAATAAAATTCGTTATATTATTCTTTTAGCTATCGTTGCGAGAGTCGTTGCAACATTGTGGAAAAAATTATAACATGAAGTAGAAATTTTAAAAATTTGTAGAACCAGTCAATTTGACTGGCGTGGGTATAAGTTGCCTTGATACGAAATTATTTTCAGCTTGGATACATAAAAAACAAAATAAAATTCGTTATATTATTCTTTTAGCTATCGTTGCGAGAGTCGTTGCAACATTGTGGAAAAAATTATAACATGAAGTAGAAATTTTAAAAATTTGTAGAACCAGTCAATTTGACTGGCGTGGGTATAAGTTGCCTTGATACGAAATTATTTTCAGCTTGGATACATAAAAAACAAAATAAAATTCGTTATATTATTCTTTTAGCTATCGTTGCGAGAGTCGTTGCAACATTGTGGAAAAAATTATAACATGAAGTAGAAATTTTAAAAATTTGTAGAACCAGTCAATTTGACTGGCGTGGGTATAAGTTGCCTTGATACGAAATTATTTTCAGCTTGGATACATAAAAAACAAAATAAAATTCGTTATATTATTCTTTTAGCTATCGTTACGAAAGTCGTTACATCGTTGCGGAAAGAAATATAACACGAAGTAGGAATTTTCAAATAAAATTGTAAAACCAGTCGATCTGACCGGTGTGGTAGTTCTAGTGTTAATTACGATTTAATTTGTTCGAACGATGCGAGTGATACGACGCTGTTCGATCATATACAAACGAACGAACCAATATTACCAACGATTTCCATTGAAAACAAAACGTATTTGTTATACGAGCTTGGCGTATCTTCGTCACGAAGAACCAGTGTCAACATTTTGTAAGTAAGTTACGTGTTTACATACGAGAAACGATATTGAGATTTTTATTCATTAGGTACAAACAGCGAGCACAAAGGACTTTTATGTCACTGTGAGAAAAGTTTTTAAACAGCGTACACGACAGAAAGGAGCGTGTTGTAATCATCGAAGCTGACGAATATTCAAAGCGTCGAACGTTTTCGATGCGGAGAAAATATTCTGCCGGAAGTCGAATATAGCGGGCAATGCGTATACGCGTCGTCGTTTCTAACAGAGGATCGTCTCTATCGGAAAATGTCGACGCGATAGAAAAAGGAGTATCGTGGATAATGGGACGGGTGTGTATCACTCGCCGAGATAAGTTATTGCTGAATCGGTCGTCGTTGTATAGTGTGATCAGCTCCACCGAAATAAAGCCAGAAGCATCGTTGACGAAGCATCGGTAAAGTGTGGAGCTACGATTTTTTTCATCGGCCCCTATTTCCCTAAAAATATCGTCGAGGTTCCCCGTTGTAATTTCGATCGATAGAAACAAACACCCCCTCTCTGTCGTTTCTGCCTTCTCTTTGCTTCTTGTTTTCTTTTTATGTCCTTTTAAACGTACCAATGAAACGGGAATAAATATTGGGAATTTCTGGACGTGGCGAAATACTCGACAGCGCGGTTCCATTATGATCGGTAACGATCACGTACAAATCGTTCTCGCGAGAATCGTTTCGTATTTTCCTATTTTCCTTTGGATAAAAAATTAGCACGCAAGTGAGCGCAACTAATTGCTTATAAACGGATAACCTGTAAAGCAAACTCTGCTCGATATTATTCGATTTTCCATCGCAGTTTCACGTGGAACGCGAAGGCGACTGATCGGCGCAGTTCACGTTCTATCGCTCGTCGTATAATACTCCGTTTCTCTTTCTCTTCTTCCTTCTTTTTCTCCTCCCTTTTTCAACATCGGAAGTTTCTCTATCCTTGGTTTTTCCAATTTGCCATAAATTTGGGAAAGCAAAGTGGCAGAGAGGCGAAGAGAGGAAGAAAAGGAACAGAATTATCCAGCTTTTTGTCAATACGCTCGTTCGACATTATTCGGCAGCCTTTGAAAAGGCCAACCGAATCAACAATGATAAATTCGAAGCGTAACGTGAATAATCGCGCGAACGAACAAAAAGCGATTCGAGACAAAAGCAGGCGAGCGCGAGAGAGAAAAAATCACGATGGTTCCTCCTCCATCGGTTTCGGAACGTTTAATTCGGAGGTGCGAGGGGGCCGGGAAGCGGCTCCACGGGGGGAGGAAGGGGAGAGTTGATTCACGAGAGCAGGCGAATTAATGCGAAAATTTAATGCAGCTGTCACGTGTCCAGCCGTTACTAAATCTACGTATAACGTCATTAAATCGGCAAAATCGGCGCTACCGTGACTCTAACACGCGTTTTGTTTCGCCCCGTCCGCACAGGCCATATTGTAACGTGTGACCCGTTTTGCAGTCGCTAATTGTAATAATTTTCTGACTCCCAAGCGTGCTGTAAAAGCGTCGAAAGGACACAGACGATCGTTCGGGTTGCACGAGTTATACAGCTCGTTTCAGAGTTTGGTATATAGGCTGGATCGGCCAATCGACGTGTTTATAAAAAAGAGTAGGAAACAAAAGCGATTTGACAAGCACGTGTACAAACTGTGTACTCCACAATGCCGAACAGGTTGTGACTCTGCGCGTCAACAATCGATACATAACCTCAAAACGGTGCAATTTTTTTTACGCCCTCAATGGCGCGCTTTACCGGCGCAAAGCTGAATCAATATCTCTCGCTGTTTTTTCTACGCATCGAGCATTGTCGAATTCTGTTCGACTATAAAAAAGCATAGCTCTGTCGAAAAAGAGAAAACGAATTAGCAGGTACCGGAAGATATCGTTTCATCGACGGAACAGACTTTTGACATTCGTGGAACGATTACTTCGCCACCATCCTGCAAATTTTCAGGTATTCGTTGCTACTTGTTAAGCTTTCTGAAACCTTAAGGGGGTATATTCTGGTCCAGAGGCATGAATTTCGGGCGATTTTTGAAGCTCTGTACAAGCGAAACAAACAATATCTTTGCTATCCTTATTTTTAGCATTTGTTTATTGATATTTCGAGATTACGTAAAAAATTCACTGGAAAAAAAACTCAATATTTAAAAAGTTACGAGCTGGCAAAGTGGGTGCTGCCAAAAAAATGGGGTGTCGTGGCGTGCATGATATCAACTCTTCTGGTCATCCGAGACAAAAAATGCGGACGGATTCCTAATTAGTACGGATGCCGCTATCGTCTGAACCTTGGAAAAATCAATACAACATTTTTTCGCAAAATGACGGCCGTTTGAAAAAAAATTTCTTATTTCGCACGTTTTTGTGACAATTCCGAACGTTTAAAAAATAGTAATATTAAAGATTTTGAGCTGAGCATGATCCGGACGATAGAGGAGTATACAAGGAATATTCAGACCAAATTTAAAATAAATCGGTTCGTTAGAACTTGAGATATCGTGCACGCCAACTCGAGAAACGTAGTTTCGAGAAAAACGCGTTTAAAGTTTCGAGACAAGTTGACTCGGACAACGTCTACCGTCTACTACTCATTTGTTCCGGTCAGACCGGAGCAGATGCCGCGTCACAAAAATGGCTGTAACGCATAAAATAATTAAAATTTTGAAAAATCCTTCTAAGGGCATATTCTTGAATGTCTAAACTTTGGAAATATGAAAAACAAATTTTTTCGATTTTTTCACATTTCTAGACCAGAATAGCCCCTTAATAAGCGTAAGTTCGCACCCATAACTCGGAAACACCCTGTATAAGTCGAGTTTCAAGGCGAAATTTTCCACAGGACACGCGAGCAATCCGATGTACTGAAAGCTGCAAGTACATATACTCTAGGCGTCTCGTCTCTAGAGCCCTCCGCTCCCACGACCGACGTCTTCCAGCCAAGCAGAACACGAGTATTACCGTTTCATGGAGATCGGTAATTCGCGCGGTTGCCGGAATTTGAAAATTACGTAATTAGAAATTCTTGATGCCAGAAACGTTACACGTAGCTCTGCGGCACAGGTATTCAAACTAAATATGTACTTTGTAGGAAGCAGCCGCGAATTCGATCGCTTCGAAATGCAAAATGCGGCTCCTACGCGTCCGAAAAATCCGAATGATCCCTTTGGCTATATTTCGTGCAATTAGAGACTCGTCCGTTACCTCGATCGTGTCCAATTTGAGCCGAATAATTAAAGTAGGAAAATAAAAGGTGGATAATCGATGCGTTGGATTCTGGTACTAATTAAGAAGGCGCGAAGCTCGATCGAAGCGGCGGTTCTAAACGTGTAACGTTCCTTTCAGGACAGACCAGAAGTGCACTAATTTCCGATCACGTGGTGGAACAATTTTACCGAAGAATATTTTCAGGCGGCCGCCGATGGGAGAAAGTCTGCTCCATTGTTGGAGAATTTTAAAGGTATAATGGAATCTATCGGTAGCTCGTTATTATCTCACTGAGGCGAAATTCAATCGAGCCTCCCTCTCATTTCTACCCCTGCCCGGCGCTGCAATTCTAACTTCGGTTTCGGTCGATATTCCACGTAATCTTCTTCGGTGGTTTGGCAATTACGCTAGAAAATACATAATTCCATATGGAAGGGAAAACCACGAGCTCCGATGATAATTCATCGGTTTTCTTATTTACTATACGACCAGTTTGCAAGGCGATATGCAAAGTTAGTAGAAAGAGCAGCGAGGAAATTGGCCGAATTCCGGTGCAGGACACCGACAACCGTTTCAGAAATTAGATCAGCGGATTAGCAAACGCCGTGCCGCGTGGTCTGAAGTACGATCACCTCTCTCCACCGTCTCTGTCAATTTTCTTTTACATTTCGATCCTATCCCACAAGAAATTGTAATCGCAATAATTCGGCGCACAGCCGGCTAATATTCTCGAGGATCGAGTCGCGTGATTCTACTTACGTTAAACAATTTGGTGGAAATTCGTGCGTGGCGTAGGAAGATCTGGCGAAAAAGATGGAAATTGCGAGGCGAGTTTAACGAGAAGATAACGCGAGATTCTGAGAGAGAGGTACGGCAAGGGAACGTGATCTGAAGCTTGGACGGTCGGAACGAAGATGATACGATAAAGATGTTTCATCGAGTGCACCGGTGAGCGATTCGATAGCTTTCAAACGAATTAAAATTCTAACAAATGTAAGAGAAGAGGAACGATCGATGGACGAGTACTCGAACCTAACAACCTTTCGAAACGAAACTTTCAACGATTTATACGGCGATCGGTCCTAGAAATCTCCAGGTATCATGATTTCTCTGCGGCGAAAAGTCGTCGGCGAAACGTATTCCCATCTGCCCGATACACTCCATATGCAAACGACGATCCAGTTTGTTTGGATCTGTTCCATCCAAACAGTTGCGCCGTATACCTACCAGAAGCATACACGTAAATGTATGTATGTATGTATTACAGAATCCCAAAGGTGTACGATAGCGTTGGAGTCGGTTTACCCCGATCGACTGCCTTATCCAGCGAGGGAAAGGCAAAACACCGTGAGAGGATACATATGTTCCGTGCAAGCGGCCGGTAATCGATCATGGAAATCCCGTAAAAAGTATCAGGGATGTGTCTGGCCCATCGGTCTCCGAGTGTCAAACGAGAATTAATAGTTCGCCGGAGTAATGTACAATGTGTACTAGGCTGGCTAGTACACGATGAATAAAGATGAGACCGATGAGCGGAATCGCTTCATCGATGTTGAAGAAACAAAGGAGAAAAAGAAAGGAGAGGCCGGTATATAGAAGAATGCAGAGGGAAGAAAGACGGATAACAGACGACGCGGCCTAGGAATATGGAGAGGCGGAGCGAAAGCCCGGTGGCCGAAAAAGAGTAGAAAAAGAAATTAATAATCGGGGCGGGTCACACGATGGCTGTGGCCATGGTGGTAGAGGTAGAAAGGGATGGAAAATTTAACCTGACCTTTTTGAAATTCTAATTTCGTTGAAAGCACTTCGAAGCAAGCGGATTTTCATTTTTTCCCTGGCCTGCCCGCCTCCTCCTATACGGCCTTTCTCCTTTTTCTTTCCATTCCGCGCCCTGTTTTCTCCTTTCTTTCTTTCTTTTTTTTTTTCATTCTCCACTTGGCTCTTCTTTTCCCTCGCTGCCGGTGTTTTGCAGATGGTAGTAATAGACGCGAAAGACAGAAATAAACGCTTTGACGAGCGGTAACCCCGCTCCAGTCCCTCTGTTAAAAAGATTAATGAGGAGAGATCGTTTCCGGGACTTCAATTTTATTAAAGGACGTTCAAAGAGAATCCCTCGATACGATGTATCCCTTGGTCCTGTTCGTTGACGGATTTAAAGCGAAACGGAGGTGGAGAAGGCGATGAAAGGTAAAAAAAAAAAGGAAAAAAAAGAAAATAAAAAGGAATCAGCGGCGTGTTGTATCGCGAACGGGCAAAGAAAATCCCGGCATTGTGCAAGAAATGCAGCGTAGACAATGCATAGACAGAGCCTCTGCGTGGGATATATTACGTCCTTTGAAAATGAACTGATTGCGAGAATTCCGCCGTTATCGATAACCGTTCTGAAGAGACTGCCGGCTTAACCGTTACCATTTCCAATTATTTTTTGTATTTCCGTGTGTCGATGCTGGAAGAAGTATCGTTATCGAAGCATATCGGAAGCATATCGCGAGATGTTGATAATAAAGCGTTAAAAAAACTTTTTCGTTTCGAGGAAAACCATTATGGCTGTATAAAAGTGGAGTAACGCGTTTGTCGCAGATCGCACGAAACAGGCAGCGCTTCGTAAAAGATTAATAAAATCGCTATGAGAATTAACGAACAGATGGTTACGACCCAGTATACCGTAGAAAGTTGAGTGTCCCATAAGGACGGTTTATCGCATTCTCCGCAATTATCCGACTTTTCTTTCGCTAGTTGCCGTTTTATATACAAACTTGGATAATTTTGAAACATTTAAGAAGCGATAAAGTTAAAGATCTTTAAAAGTGAATAAAACGATAGAAATGTGTCAACCAGGCGATACGTGTATCGGCACTCGTCGTCGTATTTTATATATCGTAGAATTCGTCAAGAATTTCATGGAATCCTCGTCGAGCTACGAAATAATATTGCACGTTGGACGACTATTACGCTGTGAAGCGTATCATAACAAACGGAAATTTCATATACGAAGCACACTGAAAGGGGAACATCTTGACGACGGAACAATAAATAACAGAGAATCGCGATAACTCCGTCGATCGAAGCTCGCCACTTCCTCTACAAATCGTCTCCATTTTGAAGCACCGTGGAGCACGCCAATCGACGAGAAACCTAAGGATGGAGTCCGCCGATACAGAGAAACAGCGATACTAAATGCGCCCGCGGCGGCGGAGCGTGAAGTTCCTAACAATTCTCATTTTATGCTCTCCAGATTCCGCTGTGTCGCCGTTTCTTTTCCGCCCAGACGCTCTGTATACGTAATTCCCGTAGCCGCGATAGCTCCTTTGTCCCTATTCGCGTATCCTGGCTACAAAGCCGGCTACCTTTAGCTTTGATCGCGACGTATCCTCCAGTTCGGCAACTTCTTCGGGCTTTTCCTTCTACCTCTTCCTTCCCTTCCTCCTCGTTTTGCCAGCGGCAAGGCTGCTTTGGATGAGCAGTTCTCTCTCTCTCTCTCTCTCTCTCTCTCTCTCTCTCTCTTGATAATTTTCCTCTAGAGAGTCTTTCCTAAAGTATTTTATAGGTTTGCGCGTACTATTACCATCGAACTACGTACGTACGTAAGAGACGAAGGCAATGGGAAAATATTTGCGCTTAAATTCTTGCAATTGTGGCTAGTGGTGTAAGAAAGAAACGGGGCAAATTGTTTCCAAATAGACGTAATTTTAATCGACTTTCACGGAATGTAATTTTAATCGACTTTCACCGACGCAGATCCATTGAGAGAAGCGGGTATAACAAGGAATACAAGAGTCTGGGGGGATCAGAATTAATAAGCGATCCCGCTTCGGAAACTTTCTAGTCCTTTAAGAACATCCGGACGTCGTGACACGGAGGGAACGCGATTCCCCGCGTCGCGACGATGCACCCGCCCCCGTGTCCATTATACAAAGCTGCCTCGAAAACTTGAGGGAAGAGAAACACAAAAAAAAAGAGAGACAAAAAACGGCGAAGAAAAAAGAAGAGGAAGGGGAGAAGAGAAAAGAACAGAAAGTTTCTATCACGCGAGCGAGAAGTCTACTAGCTCGCTCGCTCGCTCGCTCGCTTGCTCGCCTCTACGAAGATTTACGCCTGACCGTCTGTAATTTAATAGAGGATACTTTGCCGGAGTTCCTTCGAGAGTTACCTGTTCTGTTCGCGCACCTCGCGGAACGTGAGCTGACTTTGTGTCTCGGCATATCGCAGGCAAAAAGAAATAAAAAGGTAGCCTATGAAAAGAGGAAGACGAAGACGAAGAGGCGGAGCGAGGAAAGAGACGAGGATTTGTGAAAGAGGAGGCAGGTTGCGCGCGACTCGTAGCGTCGTTATTCACCGAACTAGCTCGAACATCTAATTACAATGAAAGAGGCTGTCCACGTAGCGATGAAAAATTCAATATGAAACTGTAATCGGGAGCTCTGTCTTTCTCCACGGATTAGTATCGGTGGGCCGACCGCCTCCTCCGCCTCCGGTAGCCGTGATTTATGACCGGGCCACACGTAACGCGCATCGGCTGAATAATTTTCTCTATCGGGCTCGGCCTGATGTACGATACTTTCCATTCTCATCGATCTCCAAGTGTCAAACTGGTATTAGAATCGCCAGAGTGGCGTACGATGTCTTATCGAGTTCTCGTCGACCGAGACCCAACCTGTTCGAGCCCCTTCTCTCCCACCGGTTAGATAGAGCTCGTGGAACCGAAAGTAAATCGCTCGACAAAGAAAGGCAAACGACGTCCTCGTGTCTCTTCCAGCTAATCTCGAACGCTATTCGCCCGGTACTCAATCTGCGGTAAGAGCTGAAAAAAGAGAATCTTACGAGTAATATTTTTTCATTGATATCGTTATGGAGATAGGGTTAGATCGGAATCGTTGCTATTAGACGGAAGAGCTTGTAGTTTCGAGCGAAAATCCTTTAACGAAATGAGAAAGAAGAACGTTGCCGAGGTATATATCCGAAGAGGCGATACTCGAAGCGATCTGACGGAAGATCAGGATTTTAGATAATCTCGATTGGTAGGATGTAGTTTCAATTAACTTCTCTTCAACAAGGTTGCAAATGTACCGATCCAACGACGCTCTTAATCGTAAAGCCAACATGAATTTCTGCTGCATGGCTGACGTACTTTCGACGAGGAAACACAAAAGAAAAACGACAGAAACAAATCCTCGATCAAATCCCGCATCCAGCCCGAACAAGTTTCTTTCAGCGCGCTAATGATCCCCGAATCTTCACAAAAGACTCGGATCGCAATCTCGTTTCTCTTTGCTACGTCTGTTTATCTTGCAGCAACATCGACGCGAAGACGAGAGAGATTAGATGGACCCCCTTGTTATGACGTAAGATAGGGAATTAACGTTTTTCTGCCCTTTCGGGATGAACTTCGTTAGCATAACAACGATCCGCGAAGAACGCGTGGACGTAGAGAAGAAAATGGAAAAACGAAGAGACTAGCTTTCTCTGGTTGGCAAAGGTAGGGGAGCGATGCTGTGCAGACCCGGCGATAACGTCACGGAATTTTCACGTCGCGGCTCTTAATAAAACTTACGAAACGCACGAAACGTAATAAACGAGCGACGTTATATAGGTTGATACACGCAGCCAGGCGACTGACCCACTTTTTCCAAGATGTATGAATATTAGTTTAACGAACTCTGCCTGCAACGAAGGTACCTGCCACTCTTTCTTTCTTCCTCTTCCCACCGCTTGCTATTGCGCCGTCACACTCGCGTCGCACGAATTTTTCCTCTTCTCCGCGTTAAACGAGCCACCTCCAACCCAGACTTGGTAATCAACCGTCTTATTTTCGCAGCTTACACAAACGCTTTTACATTCTGAGCGCGATATCGTGCGAGGGCTCGCGTTATCATCTACGTCGCGCGGTGCCTCTTCGAGATCTTCGGTTCGATTAACCGATGCGCTATATCTTCCGCGACGAGGATTATAGCTAGAAGCAATCTGCGATACGTAGCTAAATATCTCGTGGGTGGCTGATTACGATTAAACTAGTAAAATGAAAATAAAGTACATGTAATCGTATTCCCGTCTAGATAAGAATAAAAACACCTATAGTTTCTTTAGTAATTGCAAATGCAGAAGATTTGATCCGGATCATTTTGATTGGTTCGGTTGGTCGATCTAGCGTTAACGATCAGTAACGTGAAAATTACAGCCAGATGATCGAACAAATATCCAACTATCCATGTAATTCGTTAAATTTACAACGACCCTAAAAACCTTCCGATAACCTTGAATCTAAACCAAACTGATTGAACCTTCAGGACAGCAAATGCCTCGATCGTTCAAATATCATCGCCGTCCATCTAACGCCAAACGTTTATATAGAAATTATGATACAGCTGAAATGCCATGACGACAGCCGTCGTCTTGAGCTTAGCAAGCGATGGGCTCCGATGCGACGATTCTCCGGTCGGAAGGCATAGCGGATCAGCGCGGGTCAGAGTAATAATTCGTGCGGAGAACATCGGAAACTGTCGGAACGTCTGAATCGCATATCCGGCCGAAATGGCCGGATACGAATCGAGTGTCAGCTCTGGGAATCCGCCCGGTCTATCGGTCGATTATACACGCCGTAATAGACCGTCACGCAACTATGAGAATCCGTTGTATACTAGCTGGCTTCCAACTACCTCGAGATGTGTCGAAACAGAAGCTTCCACGCCACGCGGCCAAGCTTCGGGATTTGCGAACGGACACGTGTACGTAGTCGCTCTTTGGCACCGTGTTCTCGACGTGGAATTAACGGCGCGACCTCACCAAAGCGATTGAAATATCTGAACGAAAAGCTATTGACGTCTCGCTGAACGATGAAGATGTTTTTCAAGAATTTCGAGAGCAATGGATCTTCTTCCTTTTACACGACGAGTCCATTTGAGGAGAGAAGATAGTTCGTCGAATAGTTTGTCTATGCAGAATAATACGAAAGTAACGGAAATCCAAATCGTCAAAGTTTACGATTATCTTTGCGTTATTCGTTGTTGTCACGTCGGTTAATTTAATTTTATTTATAAATCGAACAGGGAAGAACTTTTTGGTAGTTATAATACGGAAGAAATTAAATTAGCGCGGGATTAACAAGCGAGTAGGATTAGCGGTTGCTTCTGTGTTGGTATAGCCAGTCTGAAGGTCACCAGTAGAAAAAAAGCAGAAGAAGAAAGAGAGAGAGAGGAAAGAAGAACATAAATCAAGCAGACAGCTAAGAGGAAAAGAAACAAAGTAAAGTACAGTGTGTGAAAAAAATGAAACAAAATTATATCCCTTGGAAGTTAATATCCCGGAGGAATCTACGGGCTGCAGCTTAGAATACGGAAACAGTGTTTCGTATTAGTAAATGGAACATTGTCACTGTATAAGTCGAGCTCCGTAATTCCGAAACATCTCTCGGCCTGACAATCCTGGCTGATCAGTGATTGACAATTAAGTGGACGCCGATTGAATTCTATTTTTCAATTGGCAAAAACGCTAGCGATAAAATGGTTGTGGCGGCACAGCCGATCGACGATAACCGCTCACCCAAATATCATACATCATCGATGAAAACATGCTGGAATTCTAACAAGGACCAAGAATATCCAGGCGAAAGGATCTCGGCTAGTCCGCGGCAGGAAACGATTACGGAACAATCAGAGCGACCCAGGCTTAATTACGAAATGATTTCGTTGGTAGTTTGCGCGCCTTATAATCGATTAGCGAGCATCGGGTTGGCGCTTTTCAATTAAAAGTTTTTGCCAACCGGGTCGAGCGTCTGAACACCGGTAAAACTGTCCGTTGTATGAAACGAGTGTCGACCAAAGGAACTCGACGTGGGATTAACTCGCCGTCACGTTTATTTTATATTATTCGACGATCAGAGTACACGACGATAACACGTCGGCGTCGTTGCGACGGTTTACGAGACAGCAGGCGCTATCTGTCCGGTGCAACGGGGCACGGAGACCCGCCAACAGCTGCGGCAATCGTCGCTAAAAGATATGAGAGCGCGCAATGTTTTAACTCGATTCAGAATTGCCAGCGCCAACACGTGTACACGTGTATCCCCTTGTTGCGCGTTCACCGCGGCCATTAAAGCCGCGGCTTTAACTGACCCCGGTGGAGCTTCGCCGATATATTTTCCGTAGAGGCTAGTAAACGCTGCAGTAAGTTGCCCG